CCCCTGGGTGTGTCGGGGCGCCATTTCCACATGGTACTTACTGCCGCTGCGCGGCGAGACGCCCTAAACCCTAAACCCTCAAGCCCTAAAGCCCTCAACCCCTAAACAACCCTAAATCGAGGGGCTGCAGGTTTTCTTCTGGCCTACAGGTCCTGGAGCCCTGTCAATACCCGACAGCCTAAAGCCTATAACGCTACTCCCCTGTCTACCAACCCGAATATAACTAATATATACATATATATATATACACACATATGTTTGTATTTATTTTCATATTCTTTATCTATATATATATATATATATATATATGTATACGTGTTATGTATGTATCGGTCAACAAGGAGAAGGGTCTGAGCGCGGTGGACACGCGGACGGTCAACCTGGAGAAAGGATCTGCGCTTGGTGACGGAAGACATTGCCAACAAGGAAAGCGAAAGGACTTGGGTAGTTCCCTAACTTAGGGTCCCTTTTAGGGTCCTTTTCATAAGGGTGCCGTACTATATTGGGGACCTAAAACGGGACCTTAATTTAGAGAACGACCCACTTACCAAGAGGTCGAAGGTCTCGACCCACAAGAAAAGATTGCGGCCATAAGCAAGGCAGGCTTCCTGGTTTCTGGGCCAGCAGTTGCGGGTTCAGGATTTAAGCTTGTTGCATGTTGCGAGAGTATATGACACTCTTGGTGTACATTCGCCACTTGTAGATAGTCAGATAGTTGTCGGTTTGGTGAGATTGAAATAGAAATATAAAGAACCATTTTTTTTAAGCCCCCATAGCAACCCTAAGGCGACTCCAAACCCCTCTGCCCCAAAGCCCTATGAAACGAATTGCAGGGTTCACCCACCCTGTAACATGCCAGGCGCTGCAGGAGATGACGAAGCCGAAGCGCATCGAAATCACAGATGGCTTCTGGTTGGGGGCTGAGTGTTTTTGAGGTTTCTTGAATGTCATATTCGGCTTTAGAAGGTCGTGCAGTAAGGGTGTTATGGGGTTCGATTTAATGTTGAGTCGATGGTTCTTCGCACCCCCATGGTTCCAAGCGCTTCGTTGTGCCCGTAGTATCAGAAAACCCGCTCAAACATGATGCACGTGTCAGCGGGTTTAGGGTTCAGGGTCCACCCCCCCACCCCCACCCCCCCACACCCAACCCATGGTAATGTTCCACCCGCTTTCCTGCGTGCGGAGAAACACAGCTCCTTCTCCAGTACATTTACGGGCACACGGCGTGCCAAGGCTCGCTCACCCCCCCTTCCGCTTGTGCAGCGACACGCCTTCGCTCTCGCATGGGGTTCCAAACTCAATTAGAGAGCGGTTTAAGCGGGCGGGAAGGGGCGTCAAGGCGCGAGGGCTAGCACGGAGGGATGATTGCCATTGTGCGGGGGATAAACGGAACGCGGAAGCCTTGTAAAATTCCACGAACCGTGTAAAGCCGTATCAAAGCTGGGAAGCCCCTGCCTGTACCTACCAAGACCTACATCTTAATAGGGTCCCTATAAACTCTATATTAAGTTTTTAAGTTTATAACAAGAGCCTGCGCAAAATCAAAACCTAGGTTATGGTAGTTTAATATATATCAGAAATTGAGATGAGGTCCGAGCTGCTAAAGGTGCAACTGCCAGGCCCACTGGAGCTAGGTTGAAGGGATTACTGTTCATTCAGGGTTGAGAGGTAAGGGGATTACGGTGTTGAGTGAAGGGTTTGGGGCTAAGGCTTTCGGGTTTAGGGATAGGTTCGACCAAGAGTTCGGTAAGGGTTCTTGAAAGGGTTTGAATCGAGGCACTCCTTCGAGTGTCCTTTGAGGGTGTTCTAACAAGGGTTTCTGCAACGGCTCTTGCTGCGGTTCTGGTGAGGTTGACCCTAAACCCTAAACCCTAAACCCTAAACCCTAAACCCTAAACCCTAAACCCTAAACCCTAAACCTTGTTGCAAGGGGTCTTTACGGAGTTCTAGTCAGTGAAATCAGGGCCGTTCGGGCCTTGTGGAGGGGCCTCCAGAACCTGCCGTTTCAGGGCCTTCAAGCTGTGCCAGTGCTCCAAAGTTTAGGGTTTAGGGTTTAGGGTTTAGGGTTTAGGGTTTAGGGTTTAGGGTTTAGGGTTTAGGGCAACATTCTGGTGGCTTGGAGGGGGGAGAGATGTATACCTCGAGCGACCGAAGCCCTTGCGTTTTATCGAGCACTAAACCCTTAAACCCTAAACCCCTAAACCCTAAACCCTCAAACCTTAAAGCCCTAAACCCAAAACCCTTCAACCCTGAACCCCTAAACCCTGAGCCCCTAAATCCCTGAACCCCTAAACCCGAAACCCTAAACCCCCAAGCACTAAAGCCCTCAACCCCTAAACCCTAAACCCTCAACACGCAAACCCTAAACCCTAAACCCCAAACCCTCAAACCCTAAAAGCCCAACCTGCACAGGTTCCTCCAAGCCTGGCTTCTTCGATGCGCACTACGCAGAGCCTCTGGTGCTGGAGGGTGTCGTGCGGCTCGGGCAGGTGTTGCGGATCTCTAATCATTAAGGCCCCTACATTAGGGTTTACATCAGCCCCTGTGCCGAAAATCGGACACCATAAACACGAATCCCAGAAGCCCGATCCCGACTGCAGTGTGGTCGTTTGGGGTCCTGCGTACGAGCGTAGGGTTTAGGGTTTGTGGGCTTGGGTTTAGGGGCTCGGGTTTAAGGTTTAGGGGCTTGGGTTTAGGGTTTAGGCTTTATAGGCCTATAGGCTTCCTCATATGGGGTTTCCGAAAATAGGGGACCCTAATATAGTACTCTAAATAGTAGAATCCTTATTATAAGGACCCCAAAATAAGGTACCCGAATTTTCGGAAAGCCCCATATTGGGACCCTAAACCCTAAACCCTAAACCCTAAACCCTAAACCCATATTGGGATCTTGGAGTTTTGCAGCCATCGTGCCAGGAAATCTTCGTACTTTCTCCAGCTCGCCCCGCCCTTGGGTTCCAGCCACAGGTCGGGCTTAGGATTTTGAGGGTTTAGGCTTTTGGTTCAGGGTTTAGGGTTTAGGCTTCAGGGTTTAGGCTGTAGGGTTTGGGGTTTAGGGTTTAGGTTTAGGGTTTAGGCTTTAGGGTTTGGGGTTTAGGATTTTGGTTTAGGGTTTAGCCTTTAGGCTTTAGGCTTTAGGCTTTAGGGTTTGGGTCGGGTCTGAGGATTCCTTGCGACTTGGGGATTTAGGCTTTGAAGTTGGGGTTTAGGGTTCAGGGGTTTAGGGTGTAGGGTGTTTAGGGTTTGGGGTGTTTAGGTTGTTTAGGTTCAGACTCAACTTTATCCCATCTGCCGTCGACTCCATGACAGCGCGGGTGGGTCATGAAAGCAGAATTAGCACCGCTCTGCCCTGCGAACCTCCGTATATAGCTACTAAGCCCTACACCCCAAAGGAGGGCTGCCGGCACCCTGTTTAGGGTTTAGGGTTTAGGGTTTAGGGTTTAGGGTTTAGGGTTTAGGGTTTGGGTCTTTCTCGGAAGATCCAGATTGGCATGTTCTTGAAGGGACTTTTGCAGGGCTTTAGGGCATCGGGTATGGAGGTTTAGGGTTTGGGCCTAAGGGTAGAAGAGCCAAGGTAATATGGGGGCCTAAATAATTTTCAGTTCCTCATTATAAAAAATACTATATCACAAAACCCTATTCTAGTCAACAAGGCCCCTATATTATTAAATGGCCCTGTCTGACATGCTTCTAAGCCGGACTCGATAGCAAACCCATGTAGTGTACGGAGGAGGGCAACAAGTGGTATTACCGCCGCAGCCGCAAGAATCGTCCTGTGCCGCTGCAGGATGGTGATGATGCGAATGATGCTGGTATTGTTGATGCTGATCATCGTGGTGGTTGCGATGTTGCTGGTGAAGGTGATTGTGGATGGCGACGAAGAACAAGTTGCTGATGTCTATGATGATGACAATCATCATCGAATTACTTTCTCCTTCATCTTCATCATCAACATCCTCATCACCATCATCTTCATCACCATCGCCTTCGCTGTGTGCAGTTTGTGTATGCGCGGAGGTTTACGTAAACTAAGTGAATTTACCATATCTTGATTTTCTTGGAAAAAGTCCTGACAGACCAGTAAGTTGGTTTAATCGCAAAACTGCAAAACCACTGTGAATTTCAAGCTAAGGTAGTCTAAGCCATAGACCCTAGACCCTAAACCCTAAACCCTAAACCCTAAACCCCTAAACCCTAAACCCTAAACCCTAAACCCCTAAACCCTAAACCCTAAACCCTAAACCCTAGACCCTAAGCCCAACGCCGGGTAGTCAAAGGCAGGTCCCTAGATGGCTACCTTAAGAACCCAAAACCTACTTTTTTGTAGGGTCCCTATAACTCCCATATTAGGGTTTATAATAAGAACCTACAGAAAAGTGGGTTTGGGGTTCTTAAGGTAGTGCTTTTAGGTCGCCACGAACGAGCACAGCGCGAATTTCAGGCTGGTCTCGGAAGCCTTTTTCGGAGACTTAGTTGTCGGGCTTATAGGGTTTAGGGATTAGGGTTCGGGGCTTTAGGTTGAGGGTTTATAGAGATCAGATTGTGGTTTGGGGCTTTCGAGTTGAGGGTGTCTTTGGAAAGGCCAGTCGACATGGTAAGCTTGCACGGTAGGCTAGTGGATATGTTTGATATGGGTAGTTCTCTAAATTAGGGTCCGTTTCTAGGCCAAATAGTACGGCACTTTTAGGGCCTTAATTTAGAGAACTACCCAGATGTTGTTGTATTCTTGTTGGTTTGAAGATGATCTTCTTTGGGAATCTTGGCCAAGTCTCTTTGACCTTACTTTACCATGTCCTTGGATCCTCCACGACGCCACATACATCTACATTCTATGACTGAAGAACCCACATTCGCTAAAGGAGGCTCCGAGGCGCGCCATGCAATGATGCCGCATTTTGTCGCACCGGAGTTGCAATTCAACACCACAGCTTCAGTACAAATTGGGTCCCTAGAGGCCCCATCTATACTACTACTATGGAATTAGGACCTTAATAAGGATGGTCTTGTGGGACCTAAATCCATAATGGCAGCAACCCTGAACCCTAAACCCTAAACCCTAAACCCTAAACACTCTAATTCCATAATGGTTGTCTGTTTGGAGCCTTTGGGACCCTTAGGCTTAGAGCTCGGACTTTGCCTGAGGGCCCCACTGAATCCCGAGATCCACCGAACTCCCATGGTTTTGGGTTTCGGGTTTAGGGTTTGAGGTTTAGGCTTCAGGGTCTAGGGTTTAGGTATAGGGTTTGGGGTTTAGGCTTCAGGGTCTAGGGTTTAGATTTAGGGTTTGGGGTTTGGGGTTTAGGGCTTAATGCAGGGGCCTAAGTAATTGCCTATACTGTTTTTGGGGGGGGGTGCCTTATGATGATTCTAGTATAATATACCCCAAAACCCTATCCATATGATAGGTTCTAGGGAGGCGCCTGCAAAGCGCTGCACCAACAGACAACTCTCAAACCCAGAGGCTGAAGCTTGTGCCCTGAGGCGTGGGTTTAGGGTTCAGGGGTTTAGGGTTTGGGGTTTTAGGGCTTAAGGGTTAAGGGTTTAGGGTTTAGGGTTTAAGGTTTAGGGTTTAGGGTTTTGGGGTTTAGGAGATCTCCCTGAACCCTGATCAACAGCTGAGGCCATAAACCCACACAGTCAAAAGCCATAAGCCTAAACCCCATGGCCTGAAGCCTAAAGCATCAAAACCTCCAAACCTCAAGCCCGAACGCCTAAACCAACAAGTATAGTTCAGACCACTTCTGAAGCGTGATACGGCTCCTATAGAAGACTCAATAATTTCTAGTACTATTCGTTAGAGCTCTCTCTGGTTTTGCTATACTCCCCAAAGTCTAATCATTAAGGTCCCTATAAAACAAGACAGACCTTACTAAACGGCCTAGAAGCCAAATATGGAAGCCCAGATAATTCCAAATGCTATTCTTAGGGTTCCTTAAAGAGGCCCAAAACCCGATTCTAATTATTAAGGCCCCTACATTTTAAACCCTTATAGAACCCGTATAATAACCGTTGTAGGAACCCCTTGAATGAACCCTATTCTAATAGGCCCCCCACATTCTACAGCTCTGGTGCAGGACGTTTCTCCGTTTCTGGGCTCGGCGCTGAGACTCCCGTTGCAGGGCTTTCGAGGTGCGGCGGTTCCCTAAACCCTAAACCCTAAACCCTAAACCCTAATCCCTAAACCCTAATCCCTAAACGGGGTTTGCGGTTTAGGGTTTAAGGTTTAGGGTTTGGGGTTTAGGGCTCCATCGGTTCAAGCCAGGGCTTTGTGTTTACCTGGACCCTGCAGCCTACCTTTATAGATTTCCCTATATGAGTCCCGAATAAGGTAGGTTCTTTAGTACTTTAGGGTCTGGGTAGGGTGTATAAGGGTTTAGGGTTCTTTTGGAATTAAGGTTGTAGGAATGACGGGTTGGCCAATTTAGGCTACTCAGGGTTTACGGCCGAGTGCAAGCGACACGATCAGGTGCAGAGTAGAGCTTAGAGCCCCCTTTGGGTCCCCAAAATAGTACGGCACCCTTATAAAAAGGCACCTCAAGGGACCCTAATTTAGAGCACTACCAATATATGGTTTTTGCACAAGTTGTGACAACATTCCCTTATGGCCTCCATGTCTATAGTTTCACTTCAAGTAAGGTACTTAGTATTCAAGACCCCAGTCAACAGATCACTACACCCTAAACTCCAAGCCCTTAACCTATAACTCTAAATCCCTTACCCTCATCCCTAAAACCTAAGCCCTTAACCCTAATCTCTAAAATCCATATCCCTGAACCAAAACCCTGAACTCTAAACGCTTAGCCCTTGACCCTGCACTCTAACACCCCTACGCCCTCAACCCTACAACCCCAAACGCAGAGGCCCCTAATTAGCGGTTTAGGGTTTAGGGTTTAGGGTCGCGCTGAGGCCCAACTGCTTCATCACCACAGATCGGCACCTAGCGGCTCGAAACCCTGCTCGCTCTCAGCCGTGCCGAGCTTACTATGCTGTAGTGGCCTTAATGGGGTAGTTTTTACTATAAGTATAGTTAGGGTGTGGAGGTATATTCGACTTACGTATAGTAAAGAGCTTGAAAGGGTTTTGGGGTATTTGTCTGGTATAGTTATAGGCAGGGGTCCAAGTCCAAAGGAATGGTGCTGGTAGTTCTGTTGCGGTGGTTCGGCATTTGGGTCTTAAGGTTTAGGTGCTAAGGGGCCATGGGTGGAGGTTTTAGGTGAGGCCAGGCGCCTATACTCTCAAAACGAGATCCTCATGCCCCGAACCCGAGGCCGTGTAAACGAGAGGTCTTTAGGGTTTAGGGTTTAAAGTTTAGGGCTGAGTAGTAAACTGCCACTTGTACCTTATGATCCCTAGATAACGATCCTGAACCCTAAACCCTAAACCCATTAAGGCCCCTATTTTACCGACCTAATCCCTTGACATACTGCCCGGGGCTTTGCACCTCCATCCCTAAAACCTTGTGCCCGATGCCTCAAGCCAAACTTCGATAGTCTTCGGCCCACTAGCGTTGAGAGGGTTTAGGGTTTAGGGTTTAGCGTTGAGGGCTTATGAATAATGTAGGTGCCTTAATAATTAGAATAGGGGTTTTGGGGGCTCCTTACTATAATATGATAGTACCCCCCAAACCCTGTTCTAATTATCAAGGGCCCTATAGTCGGTTTTTGAATCAGATGGTTTCCCAGCTAACTTAGGGCTAAGGGGTCATCCTGCCGTCAGGGCTACAGAAGTCTTAAATGTCGAAGGAGCTGTAATCTTTCTTGTCCTGGCGGCAGTGGTAAAAACCACTAGAAAGATGATTGGTTCCATACACCCAAATAGTATATATTTTAGCCTCAGAGTACGTAGTTTTCTATTAAGGCCAAAGTATATACTGTGCGCATGGACCCTTAGGGTAAGAACGCAACCAGCTTAAACCCTTCTTCGTCTTGTTACCCTAAACCCTAAACCCTAAACCTTCGCCTTCCCCTGAAGGGAAAGCCGGTATCAACACCTTGTTGTTTGCCTTAGGAGGGGGGTGTGTTGAATGGGTTCCACCCTAAACCCTAAACCCTAAACCCCAAAGCCTAAACCGTAAACCCTAAACCCTAAACCCTCAACCCCAAAGCCTAAACAGACACGTCAAGTCTCTGGGTTTGTTACAGGCACCGTTGAAAGGGAGGTGAAGGATCTCTTGGTCTGGGTTTCAAGATTCTTGGGTTTTTGGGAGTTGGGGTTCAGCGTTTAGAGTCTGCTTGGAGGTTCATGGGTAGTTGTAAGTGGGGCTATAAGTAGGGTAGCTATAGTTGTAACCCATATTAGGGGGACGTATAACCCTACTTATAACTACCCATGAACCTCCAAGTAGCTATACCACACACGTATACCCGAAGCAGCTCCCCGAGGTGCTAAACCTGTCGCTCCTGAATCGCTGCCTCCTGAAGCTCTTTGCAGAAAGCTTCACAGTGTTGGGAGCCTGGTGTTGGGGTTTCAGCATTTGGGGCTGTGGCTGTAGGGTTGTGAGTCATGAATGTGAAGGTGACAGGCTTCGGTAAAGGTTGAACTGAAGTAGGCTATATGTTGCATTGCAACTTGCTGGGTTCTAGGTAGTACTGGGGAGACCCCTGAAAAGGGGACCCTTCTTCATCGTACTTATGGCTCTCTGAAGGGACCTGATTGAGAGGGTCTATATCCCCAGGTCCCCTGAATCCTAACTCTTAATGTGTTTGACCAGGGTAACGTAGGGACCTTAACAATTGGAACAGGGTTCTAGGGATTCCTGATTACAATTATAGTATAGTATACCCCAAACCTTATTCTAATTTTTAAAGCCCTATATTACTCATATTCCCCCACTGTAGGGGGGACTCATCCTAAACCCTAAACCCTAAACCCCTAAACCCTAAACCCTAGAGGGTGCAGGGTTTAGGGTTTAGGGTTCGGGGTTTAGGGTTTAGGGTTTAGGGATTCAAGAGAACCTGAGGTAAGGAATGCCTTATGTAGGAACCTGGTTAAGAAACCCTTGGCCCGATAACACCCACAATATTAGGGCTCATATTCAGGTCCCAGGGTTTCTTAGTCAGGTTCCTACATTACTCTGAACACCCCTTAACCTGGGTTCTTGTTAAGGGATTTAATTTAAGCTACCATAATAAGGAAACCATATTATTTACTATAGATCCCTATTATGGTAACTTAAATTAAATCCCTTAACAAGAACCCAGTAACTGTCAGAAGGCCCTAGACCCTAAACCCAAAAACCTTAACCCAAAGCCCTATAGACCCCAAGCCCTAAACCCTAAACCCTGAACCCTTTAAGGTTTAGGGTTTAGGGGTCTCGGGCTCTCTCTCTCAATACCCACCAAGTCCCTCCCTAAACCGGTGATCTACACCACAAAGTTGTCTCGGGCTCTCTCAATACTCACCAAGTCTAGGACATTTTCCAGGTGGGTAGTTACCGCCATAGGAGCCTTATAGAAGGTCTATATACCTTATAGAAGCCGTACAGAAGCCCTATATACCCTAAACTCCCCACCTGTAGTTTCCTTTAACCAAGTCCCTTGGTTCTCTTGTCCTCAACCTTGAGTCCCCGAACCCTAAAACCCGAAAGCCCCAGCCCTGACACACCTTGATACCTTGAATCCTAAACCCTAAACCCTAAACCCTAAACCCTAAACCCTAAACCCTAAACCCTAAAGCCTTAACCCTGACCCCTTTAAATCCTCAGCCCGAAGCCCTGAGCCCGTTGATTCTGACTGTCGCAGCCCTCGGCCTGCAACCCGGAAAGCCTAACCTTGACACTTCAAACCCTAAACCCTAAGCGTAAAGCCCTAAATTCAATCCGGAGCCCCATGATTCTGATCTCAGGCAAGAGCTCCTCTTCCAGATGGAGCAGGCTTCATCGGTGTTTTTTTTGGGTTTTGTGACATAGGGCTTAGGCCTAGGTCTTGAGGCTTAAGGATGTTGGGGTCGGAATAAGTGTATAACACTATCCCCTCATAGTTCCCAGCATAGTGCTCCGTTCTTTCGCTTGTTTTTCATTTTAATATATGTTCGCCAGAGGAGACACCGGGAAAGATCTCTTTTTCTTTAATCTTTCTCAGGGGATATTATTACTATACGGATAGGGTCGGGCTCCGGACGGGGACGGAGAGGAGGCGTTTAGGCTTCGTGTTTTTGCTTCGTCTTCGGCATAGGAAAACGCAAGTTTCCTGCCCTAAACCCTAAAGCCCTAGGCCCTAAACACTACGCCCGGCAAGACTCGGTGGCCGGGTGTATCTAGGGTGCTCTCGATGTCCATATGAAGGCCTGCCCGCCCTTGGTCCCTCCCCACACACGGAGCCTCTCTCGTAAAACCCTTGTGCTAGGTAGTTGTTGTATGACAAGCAACAGTATGTAGAGCCGATTAGGGGTCTTGTCACTGTGCGCACGAGCGCTCTAGGTACTCTGCTTATTTGGGTTAGGCCTAGCTGCGGTGGCAGGACCAGAGGAAAACCTTCTACATCCGAAGCGCTCCCAAAATCTAAACCCTTAAACTTTAAACCCTTGACCAATGAACTCTGAAAGCCAAACCCTACAAGCTGACTGCCGACATCTTGGGTCCTTCTGCGCAAGAACCCTTAATTAACCAAACCCTTAAACCTAAGCCCTAAACTAGGCCCTACACCTAAACCTTAGACTCCAGACCCTATAACCCTAAACCTAAGCCCTAAACCCTAAACCGCAACCGAGCGCATTGCGTCGATCTGCTCCCTCGAATCAGGGTCAACCAGTCCGTGTGTATTATATAAACCCCAAACCGTAGGCCCTATCTTGAGCTACCATAACCTACTGTTTTGCAAGGCTCCTACAAGTTCTAGTCAAGGCAGGTGAAATGGGAGATCATCGAGTTTAGGATTTTGGGCGCCTAGATTTTGTGTTACTGGTATGTTGCAAAAGTCTTTGAGGGTACGTGATTTAAGGGCCTTAACAAATAGAATAGGTTCTCGGGGTATACTTTTCATAATTGTAAGAAGGAGACCTAGGGAACCCTATTCTAACTGCCAAGGCCCTTAAAATTGGTGTTCGGGGCCTCGGATACAGACTTTGCAGGCATTGGGCTTTGGAATCCACGGTGTCGGCAGGGGGTCTTATAGGGGTGGGAGTGGGTACTCATCTCTAAGGTTACAAGTATGGGCCCCTAATATGGACCCTTAGGCACCCATAAGGGTACATATGGGGCAGGTATATAAGGATCCCAGGGTTAAGGGCCCATGCTAGGGGCCCATGGTTTCAACCTTAGATCATCACACGGTTCAAGCTAAGCAAATCCTCACAGTGTTCCTTAACACAATCAGTCTGCACAAGCCATGCAAACAAGCATACACCGGCGCTAATTAAGTTGATTTCGATTTTAGGTTGACGGATTAAGCCGGCGCGCCGTTGCAGACATGTTCTGGGTACGGGCGCTGAGTGGTGATGGAGTCTGGATATCCTGCGAACCTGGAGATACGCTTCGTGACCTGAGTGAGAAGATCCGGATGGCTCTTTGCCTCCCATCTCTTGTGACTCGTCTGCACAAGCCGCGACCAGAAGTTGCAAATCATACTTGTATATCTAAAAGCCCCGAAACCCCTCAATCCCTTGACCGACTTAAACCTAACGAATAAATCACACTTCCTAAATCCCTTGACCTCTGGTCCTGAACCGTACCATTCTGGGATTCACTCTGTTCGCGGGTTTTTTCAGTTAAGGGTTGGGGGTATAAGTTTCCAGGTCATCGAAGTGTCAGCTTGCATAATATAGAGGCCTTACTAATTAGTTAGAATAGGTTTTGGGGGCCCATTATACTACAATTATAATAAGGAACCCCCAAAACCCTATTCTAATTATTAAGGCCCCTACATTAGCCAGGCTTACTACATTAGCCAGGCTTACGTTCACTGCCCACGGTTGAAGTTCGTCCACGGGCATCGCGAGCTCCGGGTTGACACAGCTGTGGGCGATCTTGAGATGGAGGACTTCCTACTAGTAGTTGTACAGCTGCCGAATTAACGCCTGTGCGAGTTTTGGTGCTCTAGGCTCTAGGGCACAAGAATCATTAATCGCGCCCTAGACCCTACACCCCCAAGCCCTAGCCCTCAAACTCAAGCCCCAGGACGCCACACTCACAGTGCTCTGCGACTCCTCCCCGGAAGTCTATGACATGACCTTCGATTGCGATGGCGATGGCTTCTGGGATCAGTCCGGCATGGAGTGCCGCTTTAGGGTTTGGGGTCTGGGGAGACCCTGCAGGGGTTCAGCAGGGTTTAAGGGTTGAAGGTTCGGGATAGTTTAGGCTTTAGGGTTGAATGTTTCCCAAACCGTAAGTAAACTACAAAGCAATCTTGGCTTTGGGAATTGCAGGTTTGTAGGGTTTGGGTTTCGAGTCCACCAACCAAAAAGCCAAGCACTTGGCAAAGCAGTGCATGTCCCACAAACTCAAGTCGGCAAAACCCTAAACCCCAAACCCGAAACTCTAAATCGGGAGTTGTGGGTTTAGGGTTTAGGGTTTAGGGTTTTCAGGAGGGCAAGGCGCTGGTCAAGTTCTTCGGCGATAGCACCTTTGAGCTGGAGATGCTCCTGCGGGATCCAGAGTGGGCGCAAGACCCCCACTGGGCAGCTGGAAGTGCATGAAGCATATGGCCCTTTTTTAAAGATTGGGGTGTAGGGTTTAGAGGGCTTATAGGGTTTACAGGGTTTAGAGTTTAGGTTCAGGGGTTTGGGGTTTTGAGGTTTGGGGTTTAGAGTGAAGATGGCTGATCGCTCAGTGTCTCGTACCGTTGGGGCTCATCGTTCCGGGTTTTGAGCGATGTTGCGCAGTAGGCCTTTCTGGGTACGAGAATCCCACCCTTAGCCTCAGCCAGGTTGTGGGCAGGGGATTCCATGCTGAACCGGTGTTGTCCATAGAGCTGGACAAGTACCCTCCTCGTAATCTGGAACTGACCATGCCGTCCTCACCCCTACATCCGAACAGCCTCAGAACCCGATCACCGAACTCTGAAACCTAGAAGCCATTAGCCCGAGAACCTGAAGCTCACCCCCCTCCCAAAGCGGTTTAGGGTTGAGGGTTTAGGGGTTTAGGGTTTAGGGTTTAGGTTTAGGGTCTAGGGTTTAGGGTTTCGGGATAAGGGTAAACCACTGCTAAGACCCTGCTGCAGTGGGGAGTGCCAGGACGTCTTCACGGCCGCGTCGGGCACCTGGCGTCGGCTGGGCCGTGTGGATGGAGCTCCTCGCATCGGATATTTCGAGCTTTAGAGTTAGACAAGCCCAAACTGGCTTACATAAATAATTACCAATATTACTCCTTTGGGTTCCTTAGTATAGTGAGATTATCAAGGAGCTCCGCAAACCCTCTTCTAAGTATTAAGGCCCTTACATTAGGTTTGGGCCCTAGAATTGAAGTTTCCGCTGCTTGGGCGTCGGGTTTAGGGTTTCGGAGAAATGCCTTCCAGGGTTTCTGCACAAGGACTTGTATGAGTACTATTTTGGATGTAGGGTTTAGTTTAGGGTTTATAGGGTTACTTTCTATGGTTACCATTGTGCTATGCCATATAGCTTGCTTTCGGCTTCGCAAGTGGCTCTCGGAGAGGAGGATGCCAGAAGGCCTGCATGTCTGATTCCCCCAACACCACACCTTCCCCTTATAGGAGCCTTATAGACGGTCTATATACCTTGATAGAACCTTTATAGAAGCCCTACATACCCTAAATAGCTTCCCTTCAACTAAGGCACCCTAAACCCTAAACCCTAAACTCCCCACCTGTAGTTTCCTTTAACTAAACCACAGGTTGGCTTCTGGCCAAAGGGGACACCGTCATCCATCGACTTCCACAACGATGTTGAGGATGTGTGCTCGGGTCTGGAGAGGTGGGGTCGCGTCAGGGGTTTAGAGTTTAGGGTTTAGGGTTTAGGGCTTAGCGTTTAGGGTTCAGGGTTTAGCGAGCCGAGTTCGACCCCACTTTAGAGTGGTGTGTGTTTGCATGGCACATAGTTCCCCCTCCCCCGTTTATGGTCCCTAGACACTAAAACCCTCTTATAGTCCCTGTTTGATCACGCTAAGCCTTAAACCCCCCTATGTCCCCTATATGGTTACACTAGAGAAAGTCCCCGAAACCCTATTCTCATCATTAAGGCCACTATCTTTCATAAATCCCGAAAACTGTGACAACCCCTGAACCCCAAGCCCGAATTCGGCCTCAGGGTTTGGGGTTTAGCTGACGCTTGATCAAGAAAGCCGAATGAGGCCTCCTGGGTACAGATAGGGTTCCGGGTTCAGGGATGAAGCCCATGCTCTAGTCCATATGGGAGTTTCCGAAATTAGGGGGTACCTTATTTTGGGGTCCTTATAATAGGGATCCTACTATTTAGGGTACTATATTAGGGTCCCCTATTTTCGGAAACCCCCATATTCTTCAGGCATTAGACATCGAACGCAGCCCGTGAAGTGGGTGTTGCAACCCTTAAACTTAAACACTAAACCCTAAGCCACCCTAAGCCCCTAAACCCTAAACACTAAGCCACCCTAAGCCCTTAACCCAAAGTTAAGGGCCTTAGCTTTAGCTGTCCCTACGGGTCCATGTGCTCCTTGGGAGCGCCGCCGGGCGCCTTGAGGCGTCTACAGGAGTTCCGTAACGTAGGGGTAGGGGCCTTAATCAATCGAAACGGGTCTTGGGGTATATTATTAATATTAAATAAATAAATAAATAAATAAATAAATAAATATATATATATATATATATTATGATATATATATATATATATATATATATATATACTTATTTATTTATCTATTTATTTGTTTATATTTATATTTATTTATCTATTTATAATATGGAACCCCCCAACATAGGTAATTATTAGGGCCCCTATAGGAAACAATCAGACCCGACAGGAAGCCCATGTGGCCAGAAGACACACAGAGACACCACACCTCACCCTAACCCGAAACCCCGAAACCCAACCCTAAACACCTAAACCCGAAACCCTAAACCTAAGCATCTGAACCCTAAACCCCATAAGCCCTAAACCTTAAACCGTCTGAGGCTGTGTCTGGGGTTTAGAGTTTAGGGCCCTCTGCTTTGAGCTTAAACCCAGTGGAGAGGTTGTGCCGCTATCCCGTGCAGACGGAACCCCTGGCACTCCCGGCGAGATGGCTGCTCGGCTGGTTTTAGGGTTTAGGGTATCAACCCTAAACGCTAAAAACTTTTTAGGGTTTAGGGTATACGGGGCCTCGAGGGTACAGGACGTCAATGGCTTGGGGTTGAAGGTCCGGTTCAGTGTGCAGGGCTTATTGGGTCTACCCATAGGCCCCATAGTAGTTCCTTTCTGGGAGTACCTAATAGGATCCTAAATATAAGCCACAAAAAGGAACTACTATGGGGCCTATGGGTGGTCCAGTCTTGGTGTGACTTGGGGATCGACAGCGCGCAGAAATCAGACGGAACCCGTAGTTCGGTTTATTCGTATGCCGTAGCTGTAGTCTCCATTGTAGTTCCTTTTTGGGGGTTACCTTCTAGGATCCTTAATATGTAATATAGAATTGGTTAAGCCAAAACAAGGAACTACAATGGAGACTACAGGTATAACTGGAGTCTCACCAAAGTCGCAAGCTGTTTGTACCTTCTCCAGGGCCTCTTCTCAGGTTTGGGGTGTAGGACCCTAAACCCCGAACCCAGGAGGTTTAGGGTTTAGGGTTTAGGGTTTAGGAGGTGGGGTTTAAAGTTCGTGGGGCAAAGTGTGATGGTTGGGTTTAAGACCCCTGGCATCCCCTCACCTCTCATCTTGCGATAATGTAGGGGCCTTAATCATTAGAATAGGGTTTTCGGTATAGAGCTCTGTAGCATTTTTTCTCTATAACGTAACACACAATAACCGACAAACGTCTAGACTAACTTACAAAAAATTCCCAAGAAGCCCCTGCCCCCCAGGTTTGGAGCCACGTCAGAGGAGTGTCGCTACGAAACTTACATCCCGCGAGGCTGCAGGCGTAGGGCCCGGGTCCTGGTGTGCCCGGTGCTGGATCCCAGCCTTCGCGAAGAGACCCTTCGGCAAAGCCTGAAGGACGGTAAGGTCAAAGTGCCTCACATCAGCTCCTCTTAGGAGTATCGGCTGTTGCATCTGCTTCCAAAAGGCATGTATTTTGCTCTAGTGTCTTGTAAGGTATTGTAGGGTGTCCTGACATGAGCTGCAAGTCTGCAAGCAGTGTCAGGAATCAAGGCCTTATCGAAAACGGGCATCGGCGGAAAAAGGTTCTATGTAGGGAACCCATGGTAGGGTCCTCAGGGTAGACTCACCTAAACCCTAAACCCTAAATTCAAGTACCGATTGTGCAGTACATGCCTCGGGCCAGTAGGTGACCCTCTCAAACTCCTGGAAGCCCGACATAGACTTAGACATTCCGTTGGGCTTGTGTTCGAGAGTTTGGGGTTTCGGGTTGAGGGTGTATAAGTATAGGTTTCCTCAGGGATACTTGGGATTGTGTATGGCGAGACTTGTGATGCAAAGTTGCCCCGCTTCACACAGATAACCAGAATAGGGTTCAAAGGGTCCATTATCGTACAAAAATGAAACTAAGCGGCCTACGATTAGTATTACTACTTGTATCTATTCAGACCTGTATAGGGTCCCTTGTTAGGTCCCCGATATAGCACGGCACCCTCACATAAAGGACCCCACGAGGGACCCTGATTTAGAGAACTACCTATACGGCTTCCCTTTGGACTTTGAACCTGCTTCCTCGGGTTAAGGGTTTAGGGTTTAGGGTTCAGGAGTGTATAGCTCCCTCTGACAGCCGACATCCTAAACACTGAACCCTTCAACCCTTAAACCTAAAAGCCCTAAAGTTTCGGCTTCCCCCATGGAGCCAGGAACCCCAACATGACATGAACCACTGTCAGGCCCCTATTTTGACTCTTGGGTTGAGGGTTTAGGGTTTAGGGTTTAGGGTTTAGGGGTGCTTCCACACCCGACGAGTTTAGCCTGTCACACAGCCAGATGGATCAAGCCCGAAATCTATAAGACCCTGGATAAACCGTCGTCTAAATCTACTTGCACAACCCTAAACCCTAAACCCTGATTCAAGCAATGCCAACCACACGAAGCAGGTGCCCGTTCTGGAGGCATCCAAAGCAGAGCAGACTGAGGCCCCGAATTTGCTCCGGATTTCAAAGTTTGCGGTTGAGATCTGTGGACTAGAAGGTTTAGGGTTTAGGGTTTTAGATGCTGGTCTACCCATCAGTCCAGTTGGAAAAGCTCTAAACCCCGAACGACCTGCGCCCTAAGCCCAAAGTGTCTGGCTAGGCTGAGAGTACACCGAGGTTCTTGAGCCTAGAATTACAATGTTTCCGTACTCATCGAATCCCTAGGGGCTGAGTAGGTAAACTTTAACCTTTTTGGGGCTTATATAATCCTACTATAATTCAAAGTTAACCTTTTATGGGCTAGGCTACTCCGCCCCTAAGAATCTATTTTGCCTTCGGGTCCAAGTTGTGGCCTTCTGGGCTTAGGTTCTAGATTGTGAAGGTAGAAAAGGGGCACTCTAGTATTCGAGCGCTACAGCTATACCCGCGCAAAGCTCTTGTTCTATGATTAGAACCCATATAGAGCGCCCCAGACCCTTGCAGGCTTGGGGGTATGGAACCCATAATATCATAGAGCCGTGATAGATCCCCTTGGATACTAACTGTTCAGGCCCTTTTGGGAAACCCGAAACCCCTAAACCCTACACCCTACACCCTAAACCCTAAACCCTAAACCCTAAACCCTACAAAACCCTTAACACTAAGCCGGGTAGGCCAGCCAGCTCTTTGTGTCCTACCGTGGCGTGCGCCAAGTCGCCGAGCGGCCCGGCGCCGACGAGGCAATGGGGTGGGGCTTTTGGGCTCAGAGGGTTTAGGGTTTAGGGTTTAGGGTTTGGGGTTTAGAGGGCTTAGGGTTTAATATGAATATGGGAGTCTCAATAATTACCAAATTTATTCCTTAGGGCTCCTTAGTGTAAATATATTATGAAGGAGCCCACAACCCTACTCTAATTATTCAGGCCCCCATACTACGGGCTTAGGGTTCAGATTTCAGACTCCTAAACCCACGGCCCGCAACCTGCACCCTCGACCTCTGCAAACCCCCTAGATTTCCAAGTGTACGAACAATACCTACTTCGGGATCTAAAGCGCGTAAGTAGTTCCTACTTCGGGCTATTTGGAGTGCCAGGGAACCAGAAACCGAAATCCAAAGCCCTAAACCCTAAACTCCGAACCCCTAAACCTTCAACCGCAGGGTTATTGGTGTCCTAGCACTGACTTAGCTTTGGGTTTGGCGGGCTTGGTTTTGCAGGGACCCCATCCAGGCTTTAGGAGGAGCCTTATAGAAGGTCTATATACCTTATGGAAGCCTTATAGAAGCCTTATAATACCCCTAAACTCCCCACCTGTAGATTCCTTTAAGCCCCTGGTAAGCTCCGGACCGAGCAGGCAGGCTCTGCTGTCCTGGCGCGGCTCGGGTGCTCAGCCTTTTGAGGGGCTTGCGACTTGGGGCTTCGTGGTCCAGAGATGTCTAGAGATGAAGCTACCCATAGGGCCCATAGTAGTTCCTTTTTTGTGGCTTATATTTAGGATCCGTTTGGGTAATCCCAAAAAGGAACTACTATGGGGCCTATGGACAGTTACAATGTTAAAACATACGAAAACATCGATCCCTAAACCCTAAACCCTAAACTCCGAGGCCCC